TCTTTTTCCTGCGCAGAGGCCTCTTCTTTCAATTTGCCGCTGGCATGTAAAGGAGATGGCCCCCCTTTGATACAGGAGCTGTCCCTTGGATCATACCCCACATCATCAACACCCAGGGGCGACTTTTCAAACCGAGTAGCAAGTGTCTCGCGATGGGACATTTCATCACTTGGACCACTCCGAGAGAATTCAGAAACTGCAGATGTGGCAAAGTCATCGGCCAACATTTTCCTCGCTCCAGCATCCTCTTTGCCACCACGGTCCCAGGGCGCAGTAAACAAAGTGCTGGAGATTGCCTCTTGGCTTTCTTCAGAGGCTCTGAAGTCTTCACAGATACCCAGGGGCACAGGTATCGAGGTCTCAGCACTGGCAGGGATTTCTGCTGCCTGTTCTCCAGTCTCCATTTCATACAAGTGGACAAGAGTCTCCGGAAGAACCTCACCTGATTGTTTTTCTGGCTGAATCTCCCTTGCCGCATGCTCCTGACTTCCAAGTTCCACTCTCTCCCATGGCCTTGGGGAGCTCAGCTCCTCTGTGGGGGCGAAGAGGAAGGGTAGGATATCAAGTGTGGCACAGTTAGCATAGATACGTCAACGGAAAGTCATTCTTGCAACACAAAAAAAAAAAACTTAAGAGACTTCTTGTAACCACTCCACGCTGCCATTTGCAGGAGCAAATTCAATTCTGCAACTTCTCTTGGCTTTAAAGGAATCTTGTCCCTGTCAATAGGCTTGAAACCAGAACCACTTTGCTTTGGTGATATACACTGAATCATCCATCATCTCTGCCTGCCTGCGCCCTTGCTGGGAAGAGGCAGGGTACCAACATACACATGGGATTTGCCATAGCTGATCATGTTATCCTGTCTCCCATGCTGAAAACTCCCTCCTGCCTCAGTAATATGCTGGTGGGCAATCCGTTATGTTCTGTGCACCCCGTGGGTAGATTCTCTCCCAGCAGAGCATGCCCAAAAGGCCAGCCTTGGCTATCATTCTCTTTGCTGGCATAACTGCAGGATTTTGTAGGCCACAAAACCATCCAGTCTCTCTCATGTTACAGCGCTGGACAATGGCAGTGAAGCTCACAGGCTGGCCACACGGCAAATTAAACGTTAGTTGCTTCCATCGGTCCAAAATAATGGTGGGTTGTGCAGCCATGTGCTCACGCAGCACGGGCCAGAATGTAAGGGGACAGATATTCTCCTCTGCCCAAGGTTACAAATGAATTTAAATCCGCCCCACAGCTCCTCTTCTTCTAACACCTCTCAGCCTCCCAGAATTCTACCCATCTTCCCTTCTCTAGACCACGTCTTCCTCTGCTACGTTCTCGACAGAGCGGCTCCGGGATTCTCGTTCAGTAGCCTGTCTGCATCATCAGAACCCCGGGTGTAGGTGGAGAGGATGGATGGCACAACAGAAACACCTGCCTGCGACTGCAAACAAACTGCGAGTCTGTATGTTCCGCCCACGCGCACGAGTCATCAGTACCACAACACTGCACATCCGCTCTGGAGCAGCGGGTGGTAGAATGTTCAACACACAGAACTTACAGTCACAGATGCAAAGATTTTAAGGCCAGAGGGGAACATCTGTGATTACTTAACCCAGGTCTCTACTACACACCTATCCTGGTATAACCACGTTGTTCAGGCAGTGAAGAATCCACATCCGAGTGGCGTAGTTATATTTACCTAACCCCCCGTGTAGATAGCACCAGGTCGACAGGAGTACATCTCCAGGTGACACAGTTATTGCCTCTTGGGGAGATGGAGTAACTCTGCCAATGGGAGCAGCTCTCCATGAACGCGCTAGAGGCGCAATGGTACTGGTGCAGGGGCGACGCTGTAGCACTACACCTGAAGACATGCTCCCAGCCTGACCTCCGGCATGACACAGACCAGAGAATTGCATGCATCAAGCTCATACCTTGCAATGATGGAAAATCCACCACACCCTGAGGTAAATTGTTTCAATGGTTAATTAAAAACACGTGGCTTATTTCTACTTAGGCTCCTAGCCACGAGGTCTTTCCATGACTTTTCTAATCAAAACCGAGGTTAGGGACGCTTTTGTACTAAAATCAAAAGCATCCTTTCAATAAAAAGCAAACCGTAAAGAGAAAATTTAAAAAATGGGATACGTTTTTTAAAAATTGCAACTGAATTGGCCTTTTATCTGCATAAATCTTATGGAAAATCATTGCAGAGTCCTCAAATTCATGATCCAAGAAAGACCTAAATTTGATACTAATTGGCACCTGGCAATAAATCTGTTATCAGGCCACAGTGCGCTCCTTTAATAACCAAACGGTATTCCCTGGCACCAGTATGCTAACCAGCAAAGCTCAGAGGTGAATGGAACATACCACTAGCCCAGCCAAAGGAGAGATGTGGCCACTACATTCAATACAGTATCTACATTCCCAAAATGCATTTGTTGCTCTCAATACAGACCGAGGGCGAGACGTGATCAAAGGAGTTTGTAACATTTGAAATAAGGTTAAAAATCTGTAGATTTAAAAAGGCAGCCTCTCCCATGGAGTGTGTCTCAAGTTTCTACTACTCTTCCTCCTTCATGCTGAAGAGCAAGCTTTCAAATTCCACAGCCCCCTGCCCAAAGCAGAACCAACCCCAACTAAATCATCCCAGCCAGGGCTTTGTCAAGCCAGGACTTAAAGCCCTCTAGAGATGGAGATTCCACCCCCTCCCTAGGGAACCCATTCAAGTGCTTCCCCACCCTTCTAGTGAAATAGTTTTTCCTAATATCCAACCTAGACCTCTCCCTCTGTAACTTGAGACCATTGCTCCTCTGTCATCTGTCTCCTCTGAGAACGGCCTCTCTCCATCCTCTTTGGAAGAAGTTTAAACAAACATCTTGTGAAAAAGAACTAGCCAGAGCTGGACAGAATGGGCAGATATCTACAACTCTTCCATCACATCTCTGATACTGACTTCAAGCTTGACCTACAGCACCCTCTGCCATTTTAAGCCTCGTTCAGTTGACCACAAGAACTGCCAATCACAGAAGTGCATGATGACCCTGTTACACAGTTATGGGCAAATTTCTGTAGGAAGTAGGGTAAGAATAACTAAACTCGTTTACTTGGAAGCTGAAGATGCAAACTGGCCGGAGGTCAGGCCTGAGTTGAAAAGATACAGGAAAAATACCGACTTTTTAAACATCACTAATGTGATGTTTGAAAATACTTCTCTCAGCTTCCACAAGTTGTTGGCAAGTCTGAGAGTAGCAGCAGGCAGCGAGTAGAAAGGACCCACACCAAACAGACGGAGAAATTTATTTCACCTGAATGCCGCCGAGAAAACGATCTTCTGGAATGGGATTTACTTCACTTTATAAATGGAGCATTGTGTAAATGGAACAAGACAGAGAGCGGGAGCATGTTCCGCTTTCTGCACTTGCTGTTTCATTAGATGAAATGGACGTTTTGAAAGTACTCCAAGCCCTGGGCTCATGTTGCTCCCTCTGGATGCAGAGTTAGACCAACACTGGGCACTTTGGAAAATCCTACTCTGAAGTTTTTAGTTGCGTCTAAACTCAGCAAAGTCAAAAATCACCCTTTTGAGCCTGAGTCCTGGGAGCTAGCTGCTTCCCACATTACAGGGATTGTTTCCAAACCCAGTGAAGCGGATACCCAGTTGTGCTCTGCGTACCCACACTACACTGCATGGTGGCTAGCTTTGTTCTGTTCTGTGTAATGGAGGCTGACGAGAATACCCTCAGCACTTCAAAAGTACCCAACGAGTAGTTTGGGGAGAAGGTCAAACCAGACTTCCAGGGGGTGCCGTGTCAGGGATGTTAAATATCGGTTAATTGAACAGTCAAGTAACTAGGGTTGCCAGGTGTCTGGTTTTGAACCGGACAATCCAGTATTTGAGCTCTCTGTTCGGGAAACAAATTGAGAAAATAGAAATGAGAAAATAGAAATGTCCACTATTTTCTAAATAAGATGTAATGCAGATTGTGATGTAATGTCAAGTGTGTGTGGTATTTTTGTTGAAACCATCTGACAACCCTACAAATAACCTCATGAATTCTTACCGGTTAGTCAACTATTCGGTCGTCCCTGGGGGTGGGGCCGGCAGCAGCGCGGGGTGCCAGGCAGGCACTGGTCTATCAGGCAAGCCAGTTTAAAAACCAGCTCCTTTTGTGGACCGTTAAAAACGAGCTCCCCTTGTGGACCAGCTGCCTGTTGTCTCACGCTGCTGCCTCTGATATAGAGGCAGCTGCTCAGGGCAGCAACGGCCTTGGTCCTGGGAGAGGCTGAGCTCCTGGACCCAGCACAAGCTGGAAATGAGCCAGGCTGCCTGCCTGCCCAGCTCCCAATACACTTTAAATGCAGACCCGCAGTGGGGGTAGGTATCAGACCTGGCACAAGCCAGAACTGAGCCAGGCTACTGGCCTGCCTGCTAAAATATTTACTAGTTTTGGGGTGGGGAGAAGGTGTGTCATCTAGAGCATTAACCGATAAGCTTATCGGTTAATCGACTACACTATTATATTCCCAATCTGTGTCACCATTCAAGTAAAAAATTGGACATGGTGATTATAAAGCGAAATAATCCTTTTCCTTGGGGTCAGCACTGCAGGATTCCAGATCAGCCCCCGTCTCTCACTTCACAGGAGAGTGACACTTAGGTATATTGCAAAAGGCAACTGGTGCCTGCAGGGGAGGGGTGCAGGGAGGGCCACCCAGAGGGGCAGGGAGGAGAATGTGGGGGCACCCCATTTAACAATTTAAATGTTGGCAGGAGTATAAGGAGGTGGGTGCACCTCCCGAGTGCTACCACAAGTCACCTATGCCAGGGATGAAGTGTTCAGAGTACGAGAATCTCCTCTTGGCTGACTCGTATTGTCTCAAGTGTGTTTCGCAAGTGGATTCCTCTTTGTGTCTCAGAGCCCTCAACCATCTGCTGCTCCAGACAGAGAACAAAGACTCAGAACACGTGGCCATCTACAGAAGAACAGCAACGGATGAAAAGTTGTGGTGGGGTTACCCCTACATGAAAAACCGGGGAGATGCTGAAAGCATGTTGGCCATTCCTGGCTGGAGACAGGCAGCGGCAGGGAGAACAAATTAGCTGGTTGCAAGGCAAGGAAGGGGCATTGCAGAAGAAAAATCCCAAACCATCAGCACTTGCTATCTCGATGTTGGGTCAAAACTGGATTTCACTATTTCCCAGCTGCAAATATTCCACTGACCTTGAGCACGATCTCCTGCAGCCTGGTCCTCGAGGTTCGGAGTAGCTCCCACACCTGCTTCTTCAGCTAATTCAGTTAAATAAAGGGGGGGGGAAGAGAGGGAGAGACAAAAATTAAATGTAAACGTCTGGCATGAAAAACACACGTGACTGCCTACTGAGCCTGTTCCTCAGCCGAGGTGCAGGATAGGCAGCACTATGCTGTATCTGAAGGCAGCTCACGTAACCGCAGCTGATTTACGCACAGGGACTAGATCAGAACAGTAACCGAGTTAGTCTGTAACTAGAAAAATTTAAACAACAAATAGTCTAGCAGCACCTTAAAGACTAACAAAACATGTAGATCAGTGTTTCTCAACCAGTGGTACGAGTACCCTTAAGGGTACTCGAGAGAAGTCTGGGGGGTACAATCACACAACTGAAGTTTGGAGAAAACGGAATTGTTGTTTTAAGTTTTACAGCACTTCATTATTTTTGTACCTTTTACACCCAAAAATGTCATTGCCCACTGGGCTACGATTAAGTTGTTTAAACAAATGTGTTGCAATGGTAGAAAAAAAATTGCGTGTCTGAAATCTGTAGGCACTGGGGGTACTTATAATTTTTTTTAAAGGGGTACTTTATAAACAAAAGGTTGAAAAACACTGATGTCGATGGTATCATGAGCTTTTGTGGACACAGCCCACTTCTTCAGATGACTGGACTATTAAAAGTCCATACCCAACAACATCAGCCACAACACCAGGGGCTCATCTACCTGCACATCCTCTACTGTGATCTATGCCATCAAATGCCAGCAATGCCCCACTGCCATGTATATTGGCCAAACTGGACAGTCTCTACGGGAAAGAATTAATGGACACAAATCAGATACCCGAAAAGGCGACACAAAGAAACTTGCTGGAGAACACTTTAACCTGCCCAGGCACTCATTAACGGATCTCCGAGTCACCGAGTTGTTTCGGGCCAATTCCACCAGCCAAACACACAGGGAAGGGTTGGAATCCAGTCATCTTGGATGACAGAGACCACTTCAAAGAAAAGAGCAGGAAGCTGTTGTGGGCAATTAAGGAATGGCCTTGCCAAAGGCTGGTATGAGGACTGAGATGCCTTTTTTAGTCCCTAGGGTGGATGTTATCTACAAAAACATTACTACTGCCAACAGGCGAACTATAATTAAGTGTTCAGTACTAACGAGCTCAGATGCACTAATCCTACATCTAAAAGGTGTAGCTATGGGACAGCCACTAAGTGCCATCTCATTACCCCAAGGTATAGAAAGGAACTGAGAGGTGGTCTGAGGCCCTTAGGGAGGCAGGGCATAGCAGGGGGGTGGGCACACATTTTGGTGTGAGGGCCACATCAGGGCTCAGACTGTATGGAGGGCTGGGTTTGGGAGGCTAGGGGAAGCATGGCCCTGCTTCCTATCCCCTGACCATCCTCCCACTCCTAAATCACCCAATTACCCCAAGGTATAGAAAGGAACTGAGAGGTGGTCTGAGGCCCTTAGGGAGGCAGGGCATAGCAGGGGGGTGGGCACACATTTTGGTGTGAGGGCCACATCAGGGCTCAGACTGTATGGAGGGCTGGGTTTGGGAGGCTAGGGGAAGCATGGCCCTGCTTCCTATCCCCTGACCATCCTCCCACTCCTAAATCACCCACCTCCTACCCACCTCCCTGCACCCCATCCCCCAGAACTTTCCTGCCTA